TTTGTAGTCTCCGAGGAGTACTACTTGTGGATGGAGGAGTCCTTAAATGTGGACTATGGGTATATGTGGTAACAGATTGTCTTGAAGGTTCAATTTTGGGAGAAAATTGAGGAACAGATATAGAATCTATTGTGGCAGTAGGAATAGTAGTTCTATTATTAGTAAATTGGATTTCAATATTTCCGTCTGTATGTTCTATAATTTTATTTGGAATATTTTGTATAGATGTTTGGGATGGTTGGTTTTCATTATGAATAGACCATGACTCTGGTAAGATAATGTCTGACCAGGATATTGTTTTTGGTATGATGGTATTGGATTTTTCTATATTGGTTTGGAAAATTATAGTTTGTCCTCGAGTGTCTACTTGAAGTACATTAGGACATAACGTATTCATTACTTTGTAATAAATGCGATAGACAATGGCTATATTTTGGGAACCTAACATCATGTCAAATCCTTGAGTTTTCAAGTTTAGACTTAAAACATTTAAGATATTTGGATCTGTAAGTGATACAGAATAATTAGGAAAATAATTAAAATATATCGGTCCGCTACATAGGCTAGATTCAACCATTCCGAGTAATGAGTCGGAAAATCTAGTATGTCTAGTGTCACGTAGACATACCAGAATAGAATTATTAAGTCCTAAACGAGTTAAAGGTTTAACTGCAATTTGTATTAAATCTATATGGTGATATTTATAATTTTTTGTTTTATGGATTTGTAATATTTTATTAGATAATAATTGGAAATCTTCTTGATTACTTGTAACAGATAGAGTCTGTTCTACTGTTTTGATAGCATATCCTATTTTAAGATCAAAAGTACCTTTTTTATAAACATCAGATATTGGAACCTTTGGTATGTTCCAATTTTGAATTTGGGCTTCTATATCATTTATGATAATTTCATCTTCAAACACTTGAATCTCAATATATGTATTTAATACAACAGAGGGAAAACCGATTACTTCAATCCATCCTCCTGAGAAAAGCCTCAAAATCAAGGGAGCACCATAAAAAACTCCCACATAAACTGACAATGAGGACGAAGAATCAACCTCTCAAAACCAAATGGTCCTTTATGAAACTGTAGCTACTCCTTATAAATTAAACAATGCAAATATGTCCCGTATTGAATTACTTCTCCATATAATTGAACAAAACAATTATACAAACCTTTATCTTCAAACTCTTGGAAAACAAACGGTTAGAATCGAGAATTTGTTAACTCTAACACGACAAAATGAACCAAAGAAAATTCTCTTTAAACCTCCCCCTGAAATAAATAAGGACAAATTTTTTATGGGAGATGATAATAAAATTCTCATGGATCAATTAATATCCAAATTATCTAAATTAGAACTCAAAGAACCCAATAGAACAATTATTGAAACAAGCCCTGGAGCTAATTCAGAAGACAGAGGAAAAAGCTAAAATTCTCGTCCATGATAATATGGCTCTTCAAGAAGAAGACCCTGAACCTCAAATTAAAAATACTCTGTCAAATATGCCAAAGGCATTCACAGAACATAGTATTTCTTCAGACAATATTTATCGAATCAATTATAGTAAAAACTGGTAGCCTATAAATGTTAGACCATATTACAAAAGACCAACCCCGGTTGACATACAATTAGAAGAAGATTTAGTTAGTCATACATCCACCTATACTGGTCGAACCATCAGTAATTGGAGTATTGATGGAATTTCAGATCACCAAATACTAGATACTATGCGACATATGACAATGTACGCATCAACATGTAAGATGGTTGGAAGCTATGACTAGGAAATAGCAAAAGCCATCGTGTCTGGATTTACTGGTTGGCTTAGAGGATGGTGGGATTTCCACCTCAATGATCAAACAAAACAACAGATTTTGATAAATACCGGAAATTGGACAGCAAAGAATGAACACAACCAAGATGTGTTATACACCAAAAGTGATGCTGTTAATACTTTAATATATACCATCAAAAAAGAATTACTTGCCATTATACACTGTGTTACTAAGTTTCAAAGTGATATTTTGAATCAATAATTCATGATACGTACTGATTGTAAAGCTGCTAAGGACATTCTGCAAAAGGATGTTCAAAATCTTGTTTCCAAACAAATATTTGTCCGTTGGCAAGCGATATTATCTGCTTTTGATTTTTCTATTGAACATCTTCCCGACTCTACTAATTCGTTACCTGACTTTCTTACCCGTGAATTTTTGCAGGGGGGGCCGTATATTACCACCACTACCTGAGCCAGATAGTATTCCTTACAGTTTACAGTTATTTTTGCAAAATACTCATACAAATATGAATACATCTCAAGGTAACAATCATGGTAAACAAAAAATGGACTTGGTACCCTATCCCATATCTGGGCCTCTTATGCCTAGTTCTTCTTTACCAATAACACCTATGTCACCCATGCGGTCGACAAATGTACCAGAATATTTCATCCAAACTCCTCTTCAAAGTCCAATACAAACTCCTAGTCCCTGCATTTACTCCAACTGCTTACCCAAATAGACAAACTCCCTCCGCTTTTAAGTCAGTTTATGTTGAAACCGCATTTCTGGCTGATATACCCATATGCGACAAGCATATAAACATTGACCCAAATAAATTAGCTCCCTTATATCTTACTAATCACTTGAACCCTACCAATGGCGCCAAGACTCGTGAATGGTACGAGGCTGTACTCATGGAAACTGGTTCAGTATCCATCGTACATTTCTATCGAGGTAACATTAAGCTATATGCATATTCTAAGCTACAAATTAAAAAATTATTATCTTATGAAATTGGGGTAATAACCCTATGCAAGGCAAAAAGTTAGCCAATCCTGAATTCCAATACAAATATTATAAGTATGCTGAGTATATTGAGGCCTGGCATAAGGTCTTTGCATATCCAAATCCAAATAATACTCATTCTTGGTATGTCCAATTTAAATTCCTTATCTTGGAACGGTTCCCTAGCTGGTTCCGACATTGGTTCATGATATGGGGATCACATACTCAAATATTACTAGATGAATTTCATGCCTTTCAAGAAAAATTTGCCATTCATAATACCTGCACTCCCCAAGATGATTATCACCTATACTTTATGGCCATCTATCAAATCCCATGGATTTTAAAATGGGATTACACTCTTTCTGAAAATAATACCAATAATTTTGAATATGTCCCTTGTCTTGGTAAAACCATCAAAATCAAATGGTGGGATATTTACAGTACTAAACCCTCCTCTTTGACACTCAAACGCATACCTCCTCAATTCGATATACTGCAACCTCAAGAAAATAATACTGTCAGTCTTCCCACTTTTTCTGCGTATCTCAAAAAAATGAGACTATCACATCCAAATGCTACATTAGAAGAACTGGAAGAACAACTTCTTCATATTTTCGCAGCACCAAATCCAGGACCAACCACTTCAGAAGAAACTATACAGTCAGGCAACTTGCTTCTCGAAGATTTCAGTCAAAGACCCGATGAGTAGCCCGGTCCGATAGTTTCTACAGTTGATATAACCTCTAAAAAGGTGATATGACTCCACTATAAACATCGATATGACCCAACAAGCATAAAGCCATCCACTATAAAAGTTCATATGACCCTCCACAGTGAAGATGCTCCGTTTCCTTCGATGTGACTAATTTCGACTCACATCAAGGCCATACCTTTGCATACGTGGCCTCTCCTGATTCCCCGACGCCCGCACATACGACTGCCATCTCGCACAAAAGATTCGCCATCGCCATCGCCATCACCATCACCAATGTACGGCCACCTCCTGCTTCCTCCATGTGTCCGCTTTCACCATCCATGTGACTCCACTCAGTTTCCTTCTCCATTACGGCATCCCTTCTCCGCCACTCAGCTTCCTTCTTCATTACGGCATCCTTCTCAGCCACTCAGCTTCCTTCGCCACTACGACATCCTTCCTCAGCCACACAGTTTCCTTCGAGACGAAGGCATCCAACTTCGTCACGTGCCTATAAAAACCTCCTCCCTTCTCCCAGGAAGAACAGCTTTCGCAAGGACTACAAAGAAAGCATCTGAAGCAAGCTCAGCATAAGGACTCATAGTTTCATACTTTCTCCTTTGCCTCTCTCTTCTACTTTGCTTTCTTCTATTTTCTATAGACAGTAGGTTTATTCTCGTCAGCCGTCTGTACATCAAGTCGGTAACCTCTTACTACTTTAAATGTGTGATTGTAATATTTCCTCTCTACCTTCTTACTATCCCTCCAAGTGGAAACACTTTACCAGTTTATGTGTATGTAAACAGTAAGTTATGCTGTTTCTTTCTTAATCTATGATGCAGTTGAAATTTGTATTTACTTCTAAAATTCGCAATCTTACTCATACTTCGTGGATTGTTCTTGATATATCTTGGATTTCTGCTTTAATTCTCATATGTGCTTATCTGTATTATGTTACACTTCTCCAACAACTAATAACTTATAACTCTGTTATCTTTGCCTATTTACGATAAAATCCGTAGGATAAGATAGGGTAGATCTTGCGCCGAAATTGGTTTTAAAGCCACACCCTGTTTAAGAGTATTAATAGTTGTCACTAGTTCTTGTATCTAAAGAAACTTACTAAATTAATCCATTAGAGAAAGTTGGTCCGAGCATTGAGGTTAGAGACGCTTAGACACCCAGTCTAAAGACCGTTAAGGCCAGGCGAGCCGTTGAGGTCGAAGAAGACATAAGAGGTAGTCACAGAGGACTGTCTAGATAACACTCAACCGCAACCTAATAATGGAAAAATTTATTAAGAATCTATCAGATAAAGCAGTTGGTTCAACTAGTAGTACTCTAAGAATTGGTTGTGTTCATTCTTTGCTGTCCAATTTCGGGTATTTGTCAAATCTGTTGTTTTGTTTGATCATTGAGGTGGGAATCCCACCATCCTCTAAGCCAACCAGTAAATGCAGACATGATGGCTTTTACTATTTCCTGGTCATGGCTCCAGCCATCTTACATGCTGATGCGTACATTGTCATATGTCGCATAGTATCTAGTATTTGGTGATCTAAAATTCCATCAATACTCCAATTACTGATGGTTCGACCAGTATAGGTGGATGTATGACTAACTAAATCTTTTTCTAATTGTATGTCAATCGGGGTTGGTCTCTTGTAATATGGTCTAGCATTTATAGGCTGCCAGTTTTTACTATAATTTATTCGATAAATAATCTCTGAAGAAATACTAATATTCTGTGAATGCCTTTTGCATATTTGACAGAGTATTTTTAATTTGAGGTTCAGGGTCTTCTTCTTGAAGAGCCATATTATCATGGACGGGAATTTTAGCTTTTCCTCTATCTTCTGAATTAGCTCCCGGGCTTGTTTCAATAATTGTTCTCTTGGGTTCTTTGAGTTCTAATTTAGAGAATTTGGATATTAACTAATCTATGAGAGTTTTATTATCATCTCCTATAAAGAATTTGTCTTTATTTATTTCAGGGGGAGGTTTAAAGAGAATTTTCTTTGGTTCATTTTGTCGTGTGGGAGTTAACAAATTCTCGATTCTAAGCCGTTTGTTTTCCAAAGAGTTTGAAGATAAAGTTTGTATAATTGTTTTGTTCAATTATATGGGGAAGTAATTCAATACGGGACATATTTGCATTGTTTAATTTATAAGGAGTAGCTACAGTTTCATAAAGGACCATTTGGTTTTGAGAGGTTGATTCTTCGTCCTCATTGTCAGTTTCTGTGGGAGTTTTTGATGGTGCTCCCTTGATTTTGAAGCTTTTCTCAGGAAGATGGATTGAAGTAATCGGTTTTCCCGCTGTTGTATTAAATACAGTATATTGAGATTCAAGTGTTTGAAGATGAAATTTTGGTATAGGAATAGAGTATTGGTGTAAAATTTCTTTTAACCATGTGAAGAAACAAATACTTTTTTTTCCTTGTTTTCAGAATTTGTTATATTTTTTTATGAAATAAAGATATTAATTTTGGTTCAAACGTATCAAGATACCATTCTCTTATATCTGTATTTTCAACAGATAAATAGTCATTTTCGATATATTGATTATCGAATTGTTCTTCAAGTTGTAAGACTTGAAGGAAATCAGATTCTTCAGGTTCTTGTTGAGCCTGTTTATATTGTGGAATAATAATATTATCTGGTGTTCTTCTTAATCCATCAA